CAGTTTAATTGGTAGCTTAAATATCTAAAAAAGTATTTCAACTTAATGTCACACAGACTTATGTTACACATTTTTCTAACAGCAATAAATGCAACAGATATACGCAAACCAAACTTATTAGAGTTAAGTGATTGTAAAGGAAGATACCTGAAATTGGCAGACGACAAGGTTATAGTTGATAAAGAAGGATCGAAATTCAAGTTTGTGAATTGTAACGAGGAAGTATTGTGAGCTTATGACTGATAAAGATGAAAAGATTTGTTATGAGGGTAAAAAATTGGTTAAGTGTAAAGATAATAAACAAGAAGATAGAACATTTAGAATCATTCCTACTGAAACAAACAGATTTAAGATTACTATTTCTGGTAAGTTTCTTACAAGATCATACAAATGTATTTCTGTAAAAGATTGTTCTTCTAATGTTGTTTATCTTAACGATTGTTCTGAGAAAGATGAGCTTAAAGATTTCACCTTTTCTCAACCAAAGGATGAAAATGGCAAAGAATCACATTCTCTACCTACTGTTACACATCTTGATAACAAAGATGAATTGAAAGAAAAATTAGAATTAGGAAAAAATAGAGAAGCAAACATTTACATAGACGAATCATCATCCTCAACATATTCTCATGAATCAACAGATTTACATGACGAACATGATGAAATTCATATTTATCCCCCAAAACCTAATAAAAAGAGGTATAAGCATAAACATGACAGCGACGAAAAAAAGAAATAAACCTCATCACGGTTCTCATAGCATCACAATCCAGACCATCATCGTAAAAAGAAAACAAACCATAGATCTGAACATGAGGACCCTTTTCATAAAATTGATGATGACCACAAGAAAAGACCTTATTTACACCCAGAACACAATTATATTGAACATGAACCAGAACATAACTACTATGATGAACACGGCCTAGAACACAATTATGATGAACATGAACCAGAACACAATTATGATGAACACTATCCAGAACACAACTATGATGAACACGAACCAGAACACAACCACTATGATCACGACCCAGAGCATAATCACCATGATCATGATATGGATACTGGCGACCTATCAAAGAAACGCAAGGAAAAAACCAACACACCCAAAGATTTATCCATAAAAGGCTTAATAAACAGAATCCACGAACTAAGCAAAGAAGTTGAAAAGGATTTGAACTGTGAAAATAAAATAAATGCAAATTCTCCTAAATGCAAAACAGATGACAATGATCATAAATCTCTTTTAGACAAACTTAAAAATGGAAACAATGACAAATCACAACAAACAACCAGAACTTACATAAATTATCAGCCTGGCATAGGAAATAGTCCCTCCCTAAAGCCTGATATTTACAACCAATTAAAAAATAGATTTGGTGGTCATAACCCCACTTCTTTTAACAATCCTACTACATACATTAGAAAAACTTCTATACCAGTATTAGTGTTAAAAATGTATACAAGCACGACTGTTAGATTTAAATAAAGTTTTAAATTCAAATTTAATATTTTTCAAGTATTTCATTGAATTTAAAAAATTATACTTATGAAATTAAAAAATTTTTTTATTTTCTTTATTTAAATAGTAATGTTATTTTTTTAATATTTCTTCATTTATACCTAATAATTGAATATTTTTTTATTTAAAATTTTTTTACTTTTATAAGAATAATATTGGGTGGCATACCAAGAAAGGTGCGCGAGAAATTTTGTGATTAATTAAAAAATGTTAAATAAAAAATTTTTCTTTTGTAAAATTTAAATAATAAAAAAATATTCATTCAATGCTTTATTTTAATATTAAATTCAAAAAATGTTTAAATAGTTCCATTTTTGATTTGCGTTCTCTAGAAATTAGTTTTCTTAATTTAAATTCTGTGATATAAAATTTTGTTCTAGTAACTTTACTGATAGCTTTTCTTCTTTTAAATCTTTTGAATTCTGCCTATAATGACTCTATTTTTGAGTATAGGTTAATGTTCTAGGGTTTACAAAGTTATACTTATGGTTTACATAATCATGATAATAATTTTGGTTTTTTTTATAAAATGATAGATAAGAAGACCACTGATCTGTAAATATCTTAGTCCCCGATACTATATTATTGATAAATTTTATTCCAAGTTCTTTATCGTATTTATTATCAACTATTTCCATAAAAAATCGTTTTGTAAATCTGAATATTCCTCCTAATACTATTTTTTGAGTTTGGAATTCTACCTCTGTTATATTTTCTTTTCCTAAGTGCATTTCATCCACTTAAATGACAGAATTATTTCCTCCAATAGAAATTCTTATGAAAGATTCAAAATTGTATATTTCGTTTAAAATGTTTTTCACAAATTTAAACAATTTTTCTACTGATATATCTGTTAATTCATGAAAAAATTAATATTTATATCTATTGCATAGTAAAATGAAAATTCAAATATTTGATTATGTTTTTTATGATATATTCCTTCTTTATAAAATAAAACTTTTTTTGTAACATTTTTTACATTTTGAATAATACTTATAAAAATTTTCTTTTTTAGTATTATGAATTTATTACAAAAAGAACTAAGTATATAGATTTTTAATTTTGAAATATTTTTCTAATTGCTTCTCACTTATTATCATTCTTAATTTTAATAATTCATCTATGTTTTCTAAATTCATAAATAATATGAACTTAAAATAATTATTTTTTTATTATTTAAATTTTATAAAAAGAAATAATTTTTTATTTACCATTTTTGTTTAATGAATCACAAAATTTCCAGCGCTCTTTTTTGGGATGTTACCCATAATATTTAATTATTCAAATAGTCTTTTACTTTATTTAATAATAAATTTTATATTTTAATAAGTAATACAATAATTATTTTTTATTTAAATTTTATACACGTAACATCATTTTCATTCCTTAAAAGATTACTTACATCAACAGTATTCTTTGGAGAATAATTAAATTTCTTATTTGTGATATTTTTAGAATTACTGTTATAATTTGTGGTAGGATAAGTATTATTAACACTATAATTTTGATTATATCCTAGTGAATAAAGAAGATTGGAGAGTGATTGGTAATTTGGAATAGTACCAGGAGAGTACATAGAAGTTGGCTGGGTGTAAGTTTGTGTAGTATATTGAGGTAAGTTTGTGTAATAATATGCTGGAACATTGATCTTTTTAGGATAGGTAGGTTTATTTTTTTGTTCGCAGACAATTACTTTTTTTGTTGTGGAAGGAATATTTGAGTCACACTCATCAAATGATTCTTCCTTTGGTTCTTCTTCATTTTTTGGTATTTCTTCATCCTTTGGTTCTTCTCCACTCTTTTGGTTTTCTTCAATTTTTGGGTTTTCTTCACTCTTTTTTAGTTCTTCATTTTTTGGTGATTCTTCTTCAATTTCACTGCTTGAATTAAATTCCTTCTCAGGTTTAGGATAAGATGCAAAAGGATCATCATCCTTTGTAGAGTCAGTTGGCTTAATATTAAACAACTGATTCTTTCGATCCTTTCTACACACTTCAAAATTAAGAATTTGATTTTGATTACACCCAAAATAAGTAAGACAATATTGTTTACCAATCCATTTTCTTTTACTACTCTTTAAAGAATAAGCCCCATTTTTTGGTTTAATATTCCAATAAGGTGCCTTTGTTTCTTTACTACTCTTTAACCCAGCTTTATTTCCAGAATGTTGAGCTACTTCCTTCCCTGATACTTTTAAATTGTACAATTTATCATCAACCTTGGATATTTCTGAGGTAGATCCTGGGATCAATGCTACGTATCCATTCAATAATCCTAATTCAAAATCAGGGCAGTCTTTTGGTGTAATTTTTAACGAAGTGTTTAATAAATCTTTGTTTAATTCATCATCTGCTAAAATAAAAGAGAATATCCAAAACATACTTTTTTTTCTCTAAAAAATTACATTTATATTTTTTTATTTTTAGTCATTCTAAGTAATATTTTTTACTTAAATCTGTCCAATGGATAAGTTAAGTTTTATGTTTTGAAATGAGGTGTTATGTGTAATATTAATATAACTAATTATTTTTTTATATTTAATCATTATTTATTTCAATATTTTTTTATATTTTTAATATTTTTTAAATACTATTATTTTTTTAATACTTAATTATTTTTTAAATATTTTTAATATTTTTAAAAATTTTTAATTATTTTTAATATTTTATTTATTTTCAATATTTTTTTATTTATTTTTATTTATTTTCTTATATTTTCTTATTTATTTTCTTATTTTTTTAGGTATAGCAAAAAAGATCTTCGTATGGGTTTCCCATCTCATGGCATTAAAAAAATTATTTATTTTATAAATATTTTTTAAAATATTTTTTTTATTTTAATCCATGGATTATTTAATAAGCACGAAAAGTGTTGCATTCTCATATTTTAAAAATACAACCAAATAACAGAATAATTGTTTACTTGGATGATATTTTTGATTACTACATGAAAAATTCATTAGAAATAAATAAATTAATGAACATTTCTAATAAAATAGTACTATGTTTTAAAAATAAAAAAAAACCATCAAAAAAAATAAAACAAGAACTATTTTTACACCACATGGTAATAAATTTATAAAAGAAGAAGAATATTATAATTTAATAAAAATTATTAAACCATTTTACTATGAAGATTTTAATAATTTTATTATTAAAAATGAAAATGAATCATTTAATTATTTTACACCAAAGAATTTAGAAGAATTAATTGAATTAATTAAAGAGAATAAAATAATTGATACTTTGTTTATTAATGAATTAACTAATCAAGGAAAAAATGATTTATGATGGTAAAATAGGTGAAATTAAAAAATGTGACTGTTGTGATTTTAAAGAAGAATATTTAAAATATTTATTTGAAATAAAAGAAATTAATTCTTTTATTTTGCTTCAAAAGCATAATTTTAATGAATTAAATAAAATTATTAAACAATTAAATAAATAATTTATTTATCTATTTTATTTAAAAAATATGCCCCCTTTTGGGGATCGAACCCAAGACCTTGGCGTTATTAGCACCACGCTCTAACCAGCTGAGCTAAGGGGGCTTAAAAAAGCAATTACGTATAAACAAATAAAAATTTTATACTCCGTAAAAAATGTTTTAATAAAAAAACTGTTCAACCTTCTCAGAAACTATAAGTTTAGAGAATTACATTTTGACTTTAAAGATAATTTTTTGGAATTAAAAATTGATTTGCAGTTTAGTTTAAAAGATAAAATAGAAAAAAAATTGTTAAACATTTTTTTGTCAGTTTTGTGATTTTAGAAAAATTTTCTGTTAAAAAAGATTGTGATTTTTACGGGGTAATAATAAAAGGACAGGTTAACAAATTATTTAAACTGTGGTATGAACAGAATTTTTTAGGTAAAACCAATTTTTTGTTTGAAGAAATTTATCATTTTACTTTCCATGAATTAGAAAATCAGTTTTCTGGAATGATTAAAAAGAAAAACAAAAATTATCAACTACAAAAGAACATAAAAGTGAAATATGTAGGTCAGTTTAACAAAGAATACCTGATTTATTTGTTTGATAAGAATGTTTTAATCGTAGATCAACATGCTATCCATGAAAGAATATTGTTAAATACACTCTTAAACCAGAAAAATTTAGAAAATTTTGATGAAATAGAGATTTTAAAAACAATGGCATGTAAAAATGCAATAAAATTTGGTCAAAAGGTAAATTTTAATTTTGCGAAAAAAATTTTAAAATCCATTTTCAAAAACAAATTTATTAATTGCTGTGCACACGGAAGATACACAATGCATTTAATATCCTTTATAAATAAATAATTAACTTACAATTCTTTCTAAAATATTTTTATAACCAATTAGATGATCAGCTAGTACAATTGTATTGGGGGTATTGTTGTTGGATACATTGATATTCGTACAAAGTGATTCCTCCTTTAAAATATAAAATTAGCTGTTCATTTTTTTAAACAGACCTTTTCTGGCAAAGTAAAAGTTTCTTGTTTGGTTATTGATCAAATTTTTTATGTACTTCATTATAACAGGAGTGTACCCCAATTTTAAATCCTTTTCCTTCACAAAAGATGGTAAAAAATCCTTTTTAGGTTGGTATAAATCTAAAAACTTATAAAAATATTCAATAAACTCAGGATATTTTTTAACAAACCAATTAGAAATAAGAACATCTTTTTTAGAATCAATATCCAAATGGCATAAAGTGTTAATAAGAAAGAATTTCAACCTAAAATTAAAATTAATATTCTTGTCTTTCAAAACTGAATGTATTTTTTCTTGGTTATTTTTAAAAAAACTTTTATCTGAAATAATTGTGTATTCCAAATCTGATAACAAACCATTTTTTACTGATTCTGCGGTGATAAAATTATGTAAAGTCAGATGTGTTTCTATTTTGTTATTGTTATCTGTCAAAATATTGGTTTTAAATAAATCATCAAAATCAATTTTCTCTGATTTTTGTTCTTTTGTTTCTAAAATTTGATTTTTTAATTCTGCTATGTTTGTAAATCTTGTTTGTGATAAAAATATCATCGTTGAATATTTGATAGGTTTTTTTGTGAAGAGTTATCAATCCTAAAGAATAATCTGTGTAATCGTATAACATTGATTGGTAATACCAGTTAAACACCAATGGAGTGATCATATCTTTTGTTCTATCAAAAATGAATACATTACCACATTTCTTTAAACTGTATTTTTCTATCGAAAAGGCTAATTCATTTGCAAAATCTTTTAGATTCGTTGATGAACAAACGATCGGTTGAATCTCTAAAGTGTTCAAAACTGATACAATAGAATTGATTCTGTGATTATCACCAATTTCTTCATCCTTCTCATTAATCACAAACAACTTATCATCTATTTGATGCATATCTATAAATATTTCAAACACCTCATTTACTTTGTTACTCGTATCTGCTTTCGCCAATTCTTTTAAAGAATCTTCGTTTACCGCATTTAAGAAATATAAATTATAAGCACCGTAAATGGTTCTTTTAGTTCTTGCATCAGATTAGCAATCCCTTCTTTAGAAATAAATGCACAACAAGTGAGCTGCTCCATCTTAATTCTCTTTTTTATCTTCTATCATTGTTAATAAGAAATAATCGTTGTTTAAAAAATAAGTATGAGGTACGCAGGTAGATAAGACAGTGTAACTTCTTTTGTCGAATAATGCTACTTTCAATCCTTTTGATTTTGATAAGATTCTTTTTATTTTTGGGGTGTACAGTGAGGTTTGCATGTTATTTTTTTTTGTTTTGGTTATTTAAAAAGAAAAGTGAAACATTGTTTTGAAATAAAAATTTGATTAGAAAATTAATTTTTTTGCAAATTTAATTGAAAAAATCTTTTACAAATATATTTTTATTTTATAAAAAATGTTAAAAAAATAACAATTGTATTTTTTAAGATAAAACATTGATTTTATGAAAAATAACTGAAAAATAAGTCAAATTAAAAAATTTAAGTATAAAATAAGAAAAAATAAGTACAAAAATAAAAACATTAAAAAATTCAACTTAAAAAATAAGAAAAAAAGAAGGTAAAGTAATGTAAATTCTTATAAAAAATAAGAATATTAAAAAAATAAGGTAAAAATAAAGAGAAAATAACTATAACTATCAAAATCAATAAAGAATAGGGAAAATAAGTAAAGATAGGTAAAAATAAGTAAAAAAATTCAATTTTAAAAAAATGAATAAAAAATAAGTAATAAAATTAAAAAATGTAAAATCTAGATAAAGGTAAAAAAAAAATAAGATAAAAAATAAATAAAAAATAAATGAAATAATAAAATTTATTTATTAATGATATTAAATACTAATAATATCAATTATAAAGATAAAAGAAAATAACAAACACACACGTAAAAATATTTAATCATAAAAAAACTAATTAACTTTGAAACAAAGATAAATTAAAAAACTTTATAAAACCTAAAAAAAATGTACGTTAATGTTCTCATACCTTATTTTACATTTACTATCAGTAAAACCAAATTATTCTTACGTGCCAGAATATCAGTGTAAATACCATGGCTGGGGTGCTCAAAACGTATCTTCAGAAGATAGAAATGTTATTTGTGACGCAAGTGGTAAATACGTTAATCTAAACATCCCTGGCTCTGTCTCTAATATGACACCTCATCTCATGTACTTTAACAATGATGTTAAAGAAATCAGTAAACCTTTTAGGGTGACAATAGAGAGACCTCCTAAAGATAACCAGAAAGACTGCGAATATGAAAAGAAATCTTATTTAGTATCACCTGAGACTAATTTTGTTATTTTAGGTAATCAAGAAAGGGGAGAGTGTCCTAATCAAGATTTCGTTTCTGAAGGTGTGAACGCAGTAAATTCTGCTGTACAATTGGTAAGTAATCCTCAACAAACACAAAAGGTTGACTGTGCTGAGTATTGTAAAAGACAAATGATAGAAAAAAGTGAATCAAATGACTGTTTTTGCACAATTTACACCTCAAAAGAATACCATCCCACTGATTTAACACCAATACCAGTGCCACAGAACGCACAACCTGACGAAGCAGAAGATCCAAGACAAGTGTCAGTGTTAGATCAACCAGAGCCACAAGTTCAACCTACTGATCTTCAAAACACTCTTTCTCCAACAGAAGCTCCTTTAAACATCCTTCCTCCTCAGTACATCCCTCAACCAGTGCCACAATACACCCAACAAGATTATTTAAATTATTACGCTCAGCAACAAGCTTTACAACAAGCACAGCAACAACAAGTACAACAGGTTCAAGCACAACAACAACAGCAAAAGGTATGTGAAGAGAATGAGAAAGAGATTAAGGATATGGAGAATACTGTTAGGTTGGCATCTAAACAGTTAAGTGATGCAGTTAAGAATTCATCAAAAGTGTGCCCACCAAATCAATAAAACTGAATAAAAATTGTTTTTGATAATTTTTTTTCCTTAAAATTATTTTATTTGTTTTTTTTCTTAAAAATTATTTTATTTATTAAATTATTAAAATTATTTATTTTTTTATGAATATTTAAAAAATTATTTATTTTTTCTTAAATATTAAAATAATTTCATTTATTTTTTAAAAATAATAAAATTATTTTTTTTTATGAATTTTAAGAAAATGATTTTTTTATAAATTTTTTATAAATTATTTTTTTTTTATTAATTTCATAAATATTATTTTGTTTAATTTTGAAATAATTATTTAATTTTCTTTTTTTATTAATTTATTCCAATCATTAAAAAAAAGGGGTATTTTTTATAAAAACACTCCTAAAAAACAGCACATGCTAAATTTATTCTTTCTAATACGTTTAGTAAATTACTGTTTATTTACCATTTCAATTTTCTTTTATATTTTAGCAATAACCACTTGTATTTCTAACCTATCAATTTTAAGTACTATAACCCTATACTTCTTAACACTTTCTCTCTTTTACTATTTATCAATAATCTTAAGAAAAAGTGTGATTGAGGATGGTAATGAATTGTGTGATAGATGTAAAATATTTCATAATAGCAATGCTAATTACTGTCTCTTTTGTGATAGATGTTATTTGAAAAGGATCATCATTCACCATGGCTTGGTAAATGTATCCATAATCAGAATTATAAAGAATTTTTTGGATTGATCTTTTTTTTGGATTTTTCTTTGTTTTTGCTTGGTTTTTTACAAAATTTTATTTTTCTGTTTGTTCTTTCATTGGTTGTTTTAATTTATCTTTCTTTTATTTGTTATGTGTGGGCACATAATATTACTACAAGAGAGTATATTTTAGGAGAGAAGGGTAGTCCTAGTGCTGTTACTTTGTATAATGTTTTGTTTGATGGATCTTTACAGAATGTTTTTATTCTTTTTTTACCTTTTAGGAGAGTTTATGTGAATTTTTCAGTGGAGCATTAAATAATAAATTATTATTTTTATTTTTTATTTATATTTATATTTATATTTTTATTCAAAATTTAATTTGTTTAATTTTTAATAAATTAATTAAAAATTTTCTTAATTAAATATATAATTAGTTTATGCTAACCCATGTCAACTGAAACAAAA